TTATACTGTTCAGCGGGGTGCCATGTCATTTATTTCAATTATTGCCAAACGCTGAATCAGCAAACTACCACACACACACACACACACACACACATCGGTAATTTCCGATAATTTACGAACGTCATTAAATACCAGCGCTGGCGAGGTCGTCGAAAAATGCCATCATTACATGAAACCTACGCCCGGGTCACACAAACCCTTCATTCTCGCCTGCCGGATTTATTTTACTCGGATTTATTTTGCCAGAGAACATATTCTTGTGTAGAATTTCTTAATCCTAATGTATTCGACGAAATGCAATCTTGGAAATATTCCACGCCGACTTAATTTCAGCGAATTTTAGACGAACAACGCGATGAGAAACATAAAAGAAAATCGCAGGTGAGTGTCTTCTGAAGACGAGAGAGAGGCATCAACAACGTAGCTGCTGGATTGATGAATAAAATATCAGCAGACGTTCCGGACATATAAATATGGATGTAAAAGAAAAAAAAAAACTTATTTTTTTAGCAAAATACATTTGTTTCTCATCTCCCGATCGCAACGCTTTAGGAAAATAATTTATGAAAATTAAATGTACGCGCGATGTATTCAAAAAAAAAAAAAAAAAAACAAACAAGACAATTTATTCGAAGTGAAATAGGTCGACGATTTTCTTACACATCTTTGTCTTTCTCCGCAACAACAAATCCGCTCTCGTTTTTCTCTGAAATAAAGAAAAACTGACTTCCGTCTTCGACAACAGGCAAATTAATGTCGGGAAAATTCATGCCGACAGTTCTGTAATAGATTCTCGATAACCGAATTTCACTTCGCCCCCGGGGCCCCCGATTCGGTTTCCCGATTGAACAATCTCAACCCTTCCCGTATCGGGAGAAGACCCGATGCGTAAGACTGCGCGATAATACGAAGCGAGGGAGAATGTCTGAATTGCGATTAAGCTAATCGCTCCTTGATATCACAATTACCAAGTCGCGCGCGCGGTTATTATTTTCTCCCTCTTTCCTAAAAGCCGAATCTCAATATAAACGCAAATCGTTTAACATTAGTAGTAGATTTATCGTCGCTCTCTGTGTGGGGTCGACGATAGTTGAAAAAGACCCGCCCTTATCTCGCGTTCTGCCAAAACGACGTCGTATCAAATCTCGTGAAACCCTTGCGCGAAAGCGCTTCGCAATCGAGTTGCGATTCCCTTTGTCGGCGAATGTTGTTGTACGGGCGGAGAGAAGCCCGTGATGTCTCATACATTCTGATAAACGACGTCATATTCGAGATCCAGAAATCTTCATTTAATGGAAATAAGAGCGTAATGGGGTGACGAAAATATCCTCCCCCCTGTATATAAATTCATACGTGATTCACGGTGATTCATAAAAGTGCGTGACGTCATAAATAAAGAGACTTTTTTCAATCTCCTCTGTATATGTGCGTTTATTACAGACAGATCTCATTTTTTATTGCGGTCTCGTTGTATAAAAAATATGCGTAAAGTTTCGACATTGAACTAGAGCGAAAGGGAAGAGATTGTTCTTACGTCGCAAAAATCGCTTGTTCGCGCGTATTAATTTATTTGATTACACTCAACGGGGTACGAAGTGTACGTATGTACATACACAATGTACAAATTAGCGGGCTTCGTGCGCACAATTAAATCCGCATTGCTCTTTGAACGCTGCGCGGCGTTCCGTCCGGTTCTGTTCAGCGTCGCGTTGAATATTCTTGGCTGCTCGTCACAAGAGTAGGCTTAATTATATGAAATAATTACATGTCGGAGCCACAGCAGATCTATGCGCTTACAGACAGTCTGGGGGACAGGACAGGGCGCTCGCTTGCGGATTGCGGTGAACCGCGCGCTTGGCAAAGCAGTCGCACAGTTGCGGCGCACAACCGCGTTCTCTCTTCTCTCTCTCTCTTTGATGCGCAGCTTCTCTCTCTCTCTCTCTTCTCTCGCAGTTTCTCGACTGAAAGTGTCGCGTTTAAAGAGGGGAGAGGGGATGGTGTGTTCGCGGAGTTCAAAAAGCCGCTATGCAACGTTACGTTAATTATCCCGCGGATGGGGGTATTCAGAAAACGCATGCGACTGTGCCGGGTGAATAAGCGACACGCGCGTATAACGGCAGCGTGTGACAAGCCCGGGAAGGAATCCCGGGCTCAAAATGCGTAAAATTGCCGCATTGAAAAATCCAAAGTGAGCAGCAAATTGCGAGAACGTTAAACATCTGCGCCAGGTCTCTCTCTCTCTCTCTCTCTCTCTCTCTCTCTCTCTCTCTCTCTCTCTCTGTCTCTCTCTTTTCTTTTCGTCATAAGCAATTTGCAATATATCGCGATTTCTTTACGACATTTACAGTTTTCTCTTTTCTCGAAGATAGGTGACTCCGCATTTCCGGCACAAACCCCTTCCGAGACAGATGAAAGGTATCGATTGCATAGTACTCTCGTCAAAGCCAAGCGAAGAGATACGATATCGTTCTTTCCGCCAATGCTTCTTTTCGCGCACGGCAAAATTCTCGTTTGCAGTAAGTGCACGATAGCCATAGATACTATCGTTTGCGGATTTAGGGTAGCAGTATCTTGCAACTGCATTTTTTCGGTTTATTCTGTACAGTGAAACTTGGTAGAGATTTGTGCAAAGAGAGAGAGAGAAGTTTTCGAAAAATCGCGAGATACTGTCGCGTCAGAGATTCGACAAATTTTGCTGTTTTTTTTTTTTTTTTTAAGTAATTTCACGTCTTAAAAATACATTCGTTCAGAAGTAGATAAACCACTTCTGGTCTCCGACATTTTGTGTAAAAAAAAACAAGTTAGTTTCTCTTTTCGCACAACTTGCGGACTCTTAAACGCGTCCATCCGGAAAGAAAAATATTTCAAATCATTCGCATTGCGAATTCGCGTATGAAAATCACACGCCGCGATACGCTGCTCGATTTACCGCGCGATTAACGGGATGTTCCCGAGGTAAGGTCTCGGTGGGGATTTGTATTGATGCTTCTTCCGTATGTACGTCTTCCGATATTACGCATCGAAAACTGCGGGAAGCGCCTGAATGCTCGGTAGCGTCGTCGTCGTCGTCGTCGTCGTCTGCAAACGAAAATAAGGCGATTGCCCTGAGACGCCGCCTCGTCAAAGAGACGGGAAAAAGATACGATATCGGCCTCCTGTTCGCCCGAGAGATATATATTTTCTCTCTCTCTCTCTCTCTCGCGATGATCTCGCGCAACGAAACTCGTTTTGCAAAGTAGGTACATCTCTCCGTGCGCGCGCGCGCGCGCGCCAATCGGAAGATCTGCGAGAGTGAGGCGAGCGGAACGGAACGAACGAACGATCAAATGGCTCGTGCTGAGACTCTCGCTTACGGGGATAATCTCTTTGCAGTCACCCGTACGGCAAAGGAAACGATCTGGCGGCCGCTCCCGACGCTCCGACGTGTACATACGTTACGTACATACATACGTGCCACGTTGCCGAAACTTCGAAATACGTTTTACGCTTCTCGGTCAGAGATTCAGGACGACGAATGGATGTGTATGTGTGTATGTGTGTGTACACAAGAAGAGAGAGAACGAATGCCTCTTCAAAGACTTGGCCGAGCGAGGCGAAAATTCTTTCCACCACCCCGCCGAGGCATCTTCTTTTTTCCCCGAGTTGTATTTGCGAGTTGAATGGGACCCACAGGGCAAAAACTTTTCACAGAAATTGGGATACTTTTTACGGCTTTCGTGGGACGCCGTCGGCCCGCGGGATGGGATCAGACCTCCCCTGACATCCGTACGTATTTTTACCCACGTCTGCGTTACGTGAATATTTATTAATCCTTTCCCCCGTTTCAGGCATCGAAATCGTCTGACGCGCGGAGACGCGGCCGTTACGTCGCAAAAATTGCAAAAACATCTTTGCGGGAAAAATATTTCAGTGTACATTTGTTTTGAACGGAATAAAAAAAAAATTGAGTTTTGATACGCAACGCACATTTGCGGCCTGATGTTTTTGTTTTGCAAGAAACAAAGGATTGTTTATTATATATCGTATACTTTCTTAATTACTGGAACAACTGAAAGAAAAATCAGTTAAGTTTTCTTTCATTGGTCATTCGCCGCGCGAGTTGAGAAGTGAATTTGTCAAAGATATCTGCAGGTAACTGTTTTAAAAGTAAAGTGAGAGACAGCGGGATGCAATTAAAAGTTGAACAACTGCTTGATAACTTATTGTTAGCCACTTGTGCACCGCCCAATTCTAATTTAACTTCGTCCCGTCCACGTTCAGCTATTGTAGTTTAACTTTCATGCTTTTTAAAATGATAAAATTTCCATGAAAATAGCCTTCGGATAAGAAAGTTGTTATTAATCATCTACGTTTATACGTCAACTGTTTATACAAATTGACGTCTGATACTTTTTTGTTTCGATTTGTTTTTTCTATCAATATTTTCACTCGCGCTTCTTCTAAACAAAGTTTTTTTCAATAATATAATAAAGCGCACGCGTAAATCCTCAAATAATTCGAGAAAAAAAGCTTATTTTCCCATCTACCGTGAGCGAGCGATATATTTGTAATATTCTTCGCGAGGTAATATTTTTAATACATACAAGTATGTTGCAATTGATGTAGCCCGGATACGACGTTCGATATATCGCGCGTAACGTGGCTCTCACAGCGTACACACACGCCATATGTCAGATGTCGCGGGGAATATCATCGCGCGCGCGAGAGATAATCCGCTCATAAAATCGATCTATTTTTAAGTGTTCTTTAAACAGTGACGCGCGAGAAGCAACATCTAAATTTTTGTTCTCCATAACATCCTCTTTAAAATCTAAATCTAGTATCGAAGATTGTGTTTCTTGCTTGTTTTCATCACGTCGTGCGTAACAATTAAAACATTGTGATTGCACGAACGTAAAATGTGCAATAAAAATAAACAAATAAATAAGTTTTTCAGAATTCGTCGATGGTTGTACGAGACTCTTGCAGATGAGAAAAACAAAAAACTGTACGAGACTTACCGGGCCATAATGCCTGTAGCCAAACTGAGCAGCCAATAACGACGCCACTTGCGATCCTCCGAGTATCTCGACGACCCATTCCTCGTGGTGGCTAACGTCGGCGTCGGCGATGAAATTGGATGCGGGAAAGATGACGGCGAGCAGCGTAATAACTAGCGCGCACGATCTGCGGAACAAGCGTAAGATGTAATACACGGACTCTAAGAAATATAGGGACGGAGCATTAGCCAGAGGGGTGGGTAACGTTCGCGGCGGGAGAGATGGTCATATCGGCAACTTTTGTTTCAAAACTCGCTTATACACGTATGCATGTAGAAAATATATAAGTACCGACTTAGATATAGTTCTATGCGTAGAACTTTAAAAAATATTTAATAATAAAATATCATTATAACCTTTTAACCTCCTTTTACCTGTGCCAACTAATTTTTACGCCTTCTTCCAACATTTTTTGAAATTTATTTTTCTGTTTTTTTTTTACACAATTTTTTGTTAATAGAACACCCAGGCACTATGCACGTCACTATTTTTTTTAATGACTAGATGTTTACTATATGACACGTGTGACAACAATATGTTCACAATAAGCTATGCTATATATTCATCCAAGTCCCCAAGATGGATGAAATTTTAGACACAAGGTTTGATTTATTTCCCTGCACTGGCCACACTAGTTCACAGTCTATCTTTCTTTATCCATATTAGAAGAAAAAAGATAGACTGTGAACTAGTGCTGTCAGTGCAGGGAAATAAATCAAATCTATATAATATGGCGGGAGAACCGGTTCCTCCCTGCATGTCTGAGCAGACAAGTCTCCTCTCGCCCGAGTTAGTACTTTATGCATCGTCTATTCCTTATTGTTTGTCCGTGACGTAATATCAGCGCGCGACCGCTCGCGCGCACAGAAAAAAAGAAATTGCGGTAAACTTTTCGTGTACTCTCATGTACCCTAAGCGAATTTCGCGATCCGTTAAATATGTTGAAAAATGTTCGATTACGTTTACTCTCCCGTCCCTGTTTTTGCTCTTATTTTTATCTCGCGCAATTCTGATCGCGTTCGTCCGCGTTTCGGCGTATTCGTTGCGAATAAATTAACAAATCGCGCTAAGACGATAAATTTATTTCAAAATTACAGAAAGCGACGTTTTAACGTCTTTCGATTTTTATGATTTAGAAAAAAATACAACGCGATATTAGAACGTTACGTGTATACTCCCATGTGACAATGTGTTTTCACACCGCACTAAATAATTCTTTACATCGTCACTCACAATGAAAAATTACAAGTTGTCCTTGTCATTCGTGATGATTTGATATTTTTGTCGATACAATTTTCAACACACAAAAAAAGACACACATTACTTCCACCGCCCGTCGTGTGACGACACGTGGCCTTCCTACCTGATTGCCATAGAGATTTTCCGATGAAGAAAAAGAGAGAAAGAGAGAGAGAGAGAAAGACTGAGAGAAAGAGAGAAAGCGAGTCAATCTCACAATCGTGCAATTATTATTTTCACCGCGATCCGCCAAGAATCGTCGTCCTCTTTTTTCTTTTATCACTTTCCTCGCGCGCCGAGTTCGATTTCTCTGCCGCGCGCGTACCGTCTACGCGACCGGAAAGAACAACGGAATTCGCCGGCTATTGGATTGCGAGTGACAAGTGATCGAACAGTGCGCGTAGCAATTAGCCGTGATGTTCTTTTTGTCTGTCTCTGTTGCAGGAGAGAAGGGAGAGTTTCTCGTTAGTCTCTCCCGCGCATCACGCTCGGGATCGGTTGGCGGGGGAAGACAGGCGGATTAGACTAAGCAAACATGACGCAACTGGACGCGCGTGGGATGAACAAGCCCATGATAACGATTTGTGGGCGATTCGCACTCGGGCAAAGCTGTCCCCTGATACGTTTGCACTGCTTATTGTTTTCCGACTGTTGATCAATCGATGTATTATTTCGTGTTTAGGGTAAGCGCTTCTAATTTCCACGGAGATAGATAGAGAGAGAGAGAGAGAGAGAGATAACTGTCATTAGAAGTGACCGCCGTTTTGCTGCACAACTGTGTAAACTACGGATAAAATCGGATTAATAAGAGAATGTGAGAACTGGATTACAAATTATTGTCACGCAAAAATAAAAAATTGAATATAAACGCAAGTGTTGATGTCAATTTGTTATTAATTTCGTTCGCGCGCGGCCTACGACCTGTACAACTGAAGCGACGTGTGAGAAAATAGACGGACGGATCAGAAGAAGGGGAACCCCCGTCTGTCACTCTCGGGCAAGTGTGACACTGATAATCCTCGGGCAATAAAGTTCGCCGGCTGAGCGACAACAGGTCGTAAGCGTGCGCGACAATTAGCCGCGTTATTTTTGTTTTTGTAGAGAATTTTTTCCCTTTTCTCTTATCACTGCGTCTCACGTCCAATATCGGAGAGAGAAACAAAGCAATTAGCGAATAATAAAATGATAATTATCTCAGGAAGAGACGTCGGTTTTGATCACATCAATGAGAACTGATAAGGATTCTAGCGCAATCACTTTTGACGGAAAAAAAGCGATAATAAACACGACACGTGCTAATGTTGTCACAAAGTGAAAATCGCGCTTATCGCTGAACAACCTACCTACGTCCGATACGAAAGATACGCCTCTACTCCAAAAAGATATGGAATAAAGAAGAAGAGCGCTTAAAACAACGCGAAAAACTTGTTCTGATAACAAAATTAATATTTATTTACACTTCGCTACGTGGTAGCGAAAATTTCAGAACTCGAAGTTTGTTATATCATTTTTCATTTCTTTATTTTATATCCGTTCTTACGAGAAATTATTCCAAAGCTTAAAACTTTACACGGTAGGATGAGAGTTTTGTGCCGTATAGAATTCATATAAAACAGACATGTTTGAAAATTGAGTTGAAGTTTCGCATCTGGACGGAAACGTGTGTGTGTGTGTGTGTGTGTACGCGCGCGCAACTTTTTCAAATATATTATAAAGTTGAAAAACTACACGTCTGCTGCGCGTTAAAAAAATACTTTTAACCATTTGACCGTGTAAAAGCACCGCAATTAGCGGAATTTAATGAGAACTCGACGCTGTGTGCGTGTGTGTGTCTCTGAAATAAGGGGAACATTCGTTGTCGAAATCCCTTAAGAGAGAAGAGAGAACGGCGCGCAATTTTATTGAGAAAATTATTCCGAGCCATTGCCCCGCGAAATGAGTTAGTTGCGATGTAATTGAGAACGCGAAATAACAACATCAAACAGACGCTTTCAAGCATTGCGCTCGCTTGCAATCTGAATGCCCCGATCGCACCGACGTTTTACGATCGCGATGAAATTAATATCGCGCCCCTCTCCTCCATCCCCCTTGCGCGATTCAACTTTTCTCCCCGCGCAACTTTTCCCTCGACTTGTGTTAAATTGAAGATCACACCGTAATAACCTTTGCTGTATTCACGGCGCAAAACTTATTTTCGCACGCTCGATTAATTCTTTGCGGCGCGGCGAGTAATCTCTTAATGAATGGCCGTTGAAGCGCGGTATTTACTGCCCCGGCTAGTCCCCTTTATCGCGTTGGATATTCGCGTGACGGATTAGCTCGGGTTAATTTCATGTTGAGGGATTACAAATCGAAAATATCTTCTTTTTGTTCGGAGAGAACGAACAAACACACACGCAGACACACACACGCGCGAACATACACACCGATGCTTCGTACATATTACAAATCCGACATTTAATAAATATAAACTAACAAAGTTTGGTGTGTTCGGTGCAGACGGTTGTTCGAAACAACTAATCCTTAGTTTCTAAGTTAGAGCCTCATCTATGACATTATTATTAGAGAGAAACAGGAACACGAAAACTCGATTAAACGTTAATTGAAGTAACGGGCTTACCGCTAGGAGGAGGAGAAGCTGAAGACACACACGGAGAAAGAAAAATAATCGCGAGTCTCTTTTAAGAGCGGCAAGTGCGTCGGCAAATATCGCTAATTCGCGTTCTCAGGATGCGAGTTCTCGCGAATCTCTTGTTCCATTGCCGTTCCACATTTGGGAGTTAACGCTGAAACCTCGATGTGAGCTGAGAGAAACGCACTTCGTCGAGTTACGCTCCGACTAACGTAACACGTAAGCGCATTTAGACGCGGATTACCATTAAGTAAACGCGATTTAACTTTCGAGATGTCACCCTTAATCGACCTGCGCTCAGACTCGAGAAAGACGCGTCGAGAGACGCGCGTGATTCACCTCGTCGGCGCACATCGCGCTAATTAGCGCGGCGCAATCCGCGCGATCTGATTTTATTTTTTCGCGGCAGTAGGTAAGTAGGTAATATCCCAGGCGATCGCGCGAGCGCGAATCGGTTTAAGTGCCGGTTTACGCAGCCCCCGACCGCGCGCGTAATTAGCGATCGAGCGCGTTTCGAGAGGGTACGCGAGGGTCCGCGCCCCCGAGTGTACTTTCGTGTATGGGTTTAACGTTGTGATACGGAAGTTCGCTCGCATATTGCCCGGCCACCGCCTGGTTTTCGGAGCTCTGGAGCCGGTGGCCGTCGCCTCTCGTGGGAACCTTCCGCATACGATTTAAACTGCACCAAATTCTCGATATAATCCATTTAGGGCCGTCTGCGCCCGAACGTTGCTTAGAGTTGGCTTAGTTTAGTCAATATTCTGTTTACCAAATGGTCTCTCCGGGGGAGTGTTGCGTACAAAAAAAAATCTACAATTAACTCGCTCACTCTTTCTCTCTCTTCTTCTGTCTCGCGATAATTCAATTGACACTTTTATTGAAAGTTTTGTATTTTTTATTTTTCGTGTTACAACAACAACAGTTTGCGATCCTAAGTTGCGGAGGAGGGGGGAGAAGTTCTTCTTTCGTTCCGCGCGAAGCGATGAACGCGTTCCGACGTTCGCTTCCAATATTCCGCGTTCGAGGTAATTCCACCGACAATGGACCCCAACGCGGGGGATTTCCGTGTCCCCTCCCGCCGACAAAATCCCCGACATGAGCATCGGTTAAAGCGCGCCTCCTTATTCGAGCGAACGAACGACGACGCGGCATACAAATCCGCGTAATTGAAATACGAGCTTGGTCGAACGGCTCTCTGCGGAGAAACGTTTTACAGTTTTCCGGCCGGCGAGACGACACCACTTTGTCGTTCTCCCGTAGGAGTTAATGCTTATAAATAAATTCGATCTTTGTTTGTTTGTTTTGTTACCTGTCTCCCAGGTAGATAGATGGTGTATATGTGCGGGAACGCGCGCGAAGGACAGCCGATAAGAGAGGAGGACCGAGGATCGTCGTAAAGTTCGCAAGAGAAAGAGAAAGAATATCCGCCGATAAAAGGTCGTTTCGCTTCAGCTCACGTCGAATTTCGGAAAAATCCCTTTGCTCGACTCGTCTCTGTCTCCCTTTCACTTCTTCACGCAGAGATTTCCTTCCCGTTCGAGCGAAAGGAAAAAAGAGAATTACGGTGATGTAACTTCTGTTTTCTTTTTTTTTTTTTTTTTTTTTTTTTTATCGACACTATTTCGTTGCCATAAGGACGTTGCGCTTAAAACGAACGATTCGAGTTTCTCTGCTTATGCGAAAACTTGGGCGATATTGCGGCGAATGATACCGGCCGGTCCGCACATTTGTTTGCTTTTATTGGAAACGACGTCGACATATATATCTTCGATATACGCACGCGTTTTGACCTCGTCGTGTTTCGACGCGTTGCGTCCGTGAGTCGCCGAACAGGAAAACGCTGAACAACTACGCGTGAGTTACGCAGATCTGTCAAATTAGAATGCGATTATTATATATACGTGTTTTTATTTTATTTTATTTTATTTTTTTTTTCACGTACGCACATCGTTGCAATTTATTTGTTACTATATTTATTTTTGCGCCCAATAAATGTGACCTCGCGTGAACACGTCGAATATTATATTTCACATCTCGCGCGGATTCGCGCAACTAGTTTGTATACTTAACATTGCACAGCGGCCGAAAAGTTAATATAGCGTTTTAAACCGCAGAATTTATTGCGCACACAGCGTGCGTTATCAGCATGATCGCGCGCGAGTTTAAAATAAATTTACGATTCGAATCAAAATCCGTCCGCACGCGCTGACGGCGATTTTGTCAATTGTAATTTTACGCGTGACGTGCGTCGTCAATTTATGCGTGCGCGTGCGTCGTAATATATTGTCGCTCATTGTTGTAACCACACAGCGCTGTACTATTTATATTTTTACGTAACTTTTTCGTACATTTTGTTTTTTTTTTTTTAATAAACTATTGTTGCAAATCGTAAAACTAAGAAGAGTTGTGCCTCTCCGCGCAAACATTCTTCTTTTAA